CTCTCTCTCTCTCTCTCTCTCTCTCTCTCTCTCTCTCTCTCTCTCTCACACACACACACACACACACACACACACACACACACACACACACAGAAACCCGACAGTGACACTGCCGCTGTGACGTTGATCTTACCCAAAGACTTCATCCCAGAACGATGGCGGTTCCTGCAGCAGGGCGTTCACCCGCTTCACACCCTCCAGCTTCGCTTCGAGGTCTTTGACTTTAGTTTGCAAGGACTTGTAGTTGTCCCACGTCGCCATGTGTTCTTCATCCTGGAGCGTGACAACTTTGACATCCTCCGCTAGGGCGTCGACATCACACGCCCCAGCAGATGTCATCTCTACGAATTGCTCATCGTAACAGTGCCATGCGAGATCCCGTTCATCACGTGCCTCTTCCATGGTGGCGATGGCATCTTGCAGCTGTGTCTCAAGATATGCATGATGCTCGCATGCTTTCTCGACCTGACACTGCAGCTCCTCATTGCGGTCCTTCAACGCATTAATCTCCTTCGTAAATGTCATGTATTCACTCCTCCACAGGGACAGCTTATCGACGATATCGTTGCACCAGTTACACACATCGAGGCGAGATCGCCACAGTCGTCTGCCAACCGCCTTGCACCATCTTCTTGCACAGTAATGGCTATGGTTATGCTCCCTTCGCCATTCCTGCTATCCGTCTTTCAGAACTACCGTGATATCATCTCCTCGCTTAACAAGGAATCGATGTAGGACCTGCAATTCCTGATGCGCACTGAAAAGGGCATCGCTCAGACTCTGCGCACCATGCACAATCGCGTCCACTTGTTCATCCGCCCCCTTGCTCCCCAAACCCTTCGACGAGCTGTATCCTCCATCCTTCGCCATACTCCACCACCTTTATCGATTGATGACACGTGTGAACTCAACGGTGGCCACCTGGCACGTGCCCGTGTCTTCACCCCACTCGGGCTCGGTGTGCGACCCAGGCGTTGACATGTGCACACAAAGCGTCCCGCACCTGCACCCCAGGCTCCCTAGTCCGGAGATGGCGTACAGCACGCAACTCTCCTGCCACCGCACGACTGGGCGGAGGTTGTGTTCCACTCTCGACATCTGGTGGCTGCACATACTCCTCTGGAAGATCACCCCACTCCTGAAGCAGGTTGTGCACTATACAAGCAGCCCAAAACTCATCCCCCTCGATCTTCAAATCACACACATGTGGCCTGTAGAAATACTGGAACCGCATTTTGAAGAGGCCAATGCCCCGCTCCACAAGTGAGCGAACAACCTTGTGTCGACTATCGAAAATTTTGGTGTGCGGGTCCACATAGTTGTGGCCATACGGGACCACGAGCCAAGCCAATGTGGGATACCCACCGTCAGCAAGCAGGTACCCACCCGGGACTCCGGGAATTTCGGGACGCAAGTGCCTGGTCGGGTCGTCAGGGTCCGCTGAAAACAGCTCCCCCGACACGTCCCTCCGCCACAGAGATGAATTCCGCAGGACTCGGTCGTCGGCAACAATACCCGAAAATCCATAACACAGGTCAAGAATGCGCAAGTCCGTATCGAACACCAGCTGCGCCACGATGGAGAACCTTCGCTTGTGACCGCCCATGAAGTCGTCTCCGTCTTTCTTCTTAGGTTTGTCGACGAAAACATGAGTGCAATCAATGCACCCCCAACAGTTTGGAAAACCAAGCGCGGCGAACTTCTGCATCCAACGATGCAGCTCCTCGTACGTACCGAACCTGACCACCGATCCAAAACAACGTATGATAACTTTGGAAACATCACGCACCGCCCGTAGCCCGCTCGTTTTTCCCATCCCGTATGTCCATGAGCTATGGAGATTGGAGTCGCCATGTGCCCAACGGTGCAATGCATAAGCCAGCACCTGTGCGGGAGGCCATGGCTTCCTCCACCTGGTAACCTGCTTCTCCAGATGCGGTGCGAGCACACGAAGAAGGCGGTTGAAGGTAGATCTACGCATGCGCAACAGGGTGACGTAGCAGTCATCTTCAACATCGTCAGTCACCTCGAGGTCCTTCCACACACCAGCTGTGTGACACATTACCCACCAACGAGGTGGATTGCGAGGCATGACATCACAAACGTTCACTATGGCGGGCCATTGCCAACTGGTACACATACGTCGCTTCCGGGATGCGCTGTCATCCTGTATGCCACACTCAAAAATGTCATCTATCAAACGCTTCCCCGTCAATGGTGGCCTGCTCCAGATGTCGTTGAAAATGCGAACCGCATCCTCGCCGAGCTGAGGAGCACAAACGAGGATGGGAACAATGGCATCCTCAACAACTTTGTCGTCGTCGTCCATGATACGTACAACCTACCCAGAACAAACCGCTACTCCTGAAGTATTGCCAGAAGAACATATCTGCTCTTGCCCCAAGGCCAAATGTCATTAACCCCGACTGACATTCGCAGAAAGCTCCGCCAAATAGAGGTGCCCTACCCCACAACCCCCCATTCCCCTCAACCACAGCCTCGTGACGACTACCATCTGCATCGTACTGTTCGAAAATCTCCTTCCTGCTTCTACAGATGTCCTCATTTTTAAGAAATGGGGACTCGAACGCGCGCCCTATCGATTGCACGCTGCGTCCTTCCCTTCCGAGGCAATGGGACATGCGGAAACGACAGAGGGCGCGAACCTGGACATTGATACAGGCCAGGTTCATGGAAGTCCATGCTCGGCCCGACTTTACCTGTTTTGGGGAGCAGTGGGCACGGTAAGCGCGGACGGCACATGTCAGAGTCCACTTTTCTCGTTTCAGACGGCAGTGGACGTCATGAATACCTTCGAGCTAGCTCAAAATATCTATGTTTATTAAAATACAAAGAAATGAGGGAAACATCTAAACACACATTAAAAAAATGTCATTCTTTGCTGCCACACCGTTGAGCTGGCTGAACTCAACGGTGCTGGTGGGACAAGGTCCCAGAACAGATACTACACTTGATTTAGGGTGTAGCCAGCCCACTCTCGAAATGTGAAAAAGACAAAAATGTGGCCTGTGCATCTGGCCATGTTCTGGCAGAAAGTTCATTCTCATTTTGCACAGAGTGGTGTGGCGACGTCCTTAGCCGAAGCCCGAGAAAGGTATGCATGTCCAGATTGTTTGTCTGTGTTTTTTTTCTTTTTTTTCTAACAAATACATTGTACTTATAGCGCTGGGCACGGTCTGTCGCACACGAGATCGAGTGTAGTATCTGTTCTGATCAGCTTAATGTCTAATCCGTGGTCCATCGAAAAAAAAATTTAAAAAAAATAAAAAAATTTACGGAATGTACATGACCACTTTTTCCGACCCCGCCCGGGCGCACTTGACTCCAATAACCACCACAAAGAAGTGGAAAAAGTCCTAGGGCCTCGCTGCACTACTCTTGAAATATGCAAATAGAGAGTGAATCTTCAGTAAAATATGGAAAAATACATCGCCATGATTTTTGTCTTTTGTGCATGTCTAGAGAGTTGTGCAGCGAGGCCCCTAGTGTGAGTATGCCCTGAGCTAGACACGTCACACTGGCGCGGCATGTCACACGGGCATAGTTCTTTGTCAAAAACTTCGAAATTCCCGTAACGCGCGCTCACATCTGATCGCGAGGTACCGCGCAGCTTGCCTGCGATGGCACCAACTCGTCCCCACAGCCGTCTCTCGACTCTCGACATTCTCAGGGGTAGTACAGTGGCGGGGTACGTCACTCGGGCACAGTTTCTGTCAAAAATTTCGAAATTCCCGTAAGGCGCGCTAGCATGTGATCGCGAGACACCGTGGTGCTTGCCTGCGATAGCGCCAACTAGCTCGGATTCAGCACCGAGGACACGTGAGGATCGACTGCGATGGCGCCAACTCGTTCCCACAGCCAGCTTGGATTCAGCAGAGAGGACACACGCGGGGATCGACCGCACCTGTGTAATGCACGCTCCTGCCCAGCTTGCCTGGGATTGCACCAACTCGTCCCCACAACTACCTTGAATTCAGCAGCAAGGACACAAGCGGGGATGCACTGCACTTGTGAGCAGGAGCTCTTCCAGGCACGCTTTGCAGGAGCATGCCCGCACAAGAGAAATATAAGGGAAGGCATGGGCAGTCAGCAGCAAGGGCACGCTCGTGAGTCGTGTGGCATGCGTGTCCGTATGAAAGCCAGTGCACGGGAGGTCATCTGCAAGGTGGTGCACAGCGGAAGTCAGCGAGTTTCATCCTCCTCGCCATCGCCGTTCCTATCATCATCGTCTAAGGTGAGATCCTCACTCCCCTCGGTTTCCCACTCTTCCCAACCCCTCCACATCCACTATTCCCTTCTCCCTTCTCCCCTCACACACTCTCTCTCTCTGTGTCTCTGTCTCTCTCTCTCTCTCTCTCTCTCTCTCCCCCCCCCGTCCCCACCCATTCTTGCTGGCTCCCTTTGTGTGTGTGCGCGGCTCGTTTCCTCTTTGTACCCTCTCTGTGTGAATCTGCACTGAGCTTAATCACTTTCGGTCGTCAATGTGTGCCCGCTGGACGTTCCTGAACCCCACCTTCTCCTGCCTCGCAAGGATAGCAGAGCAAGATGCACGAAAAGGATGAAGAAGAAGAGGGGATGAAGGAGGAGGAGGAGGAGGAGGAAGAGAAGGAGGAGGAAGAGAAGGAGGAGGAAGAGGAGGAGGACGAGGCAGAGAGGAGGACGGGGAAGAGAGGAGGAGGACGGGGAAGAGAAGAGTCAGCCGCGGAAAGCAGAGGAGGCGGACGGAGA